AATTAAATGCATTGCTAGAGAATAATTTAATTAAGATTTTCAAAACACTGTGCCCATTATCTGATGTTATGTTCAACACAAGATGAAAATTGCTTTAGGACCCTCATAAACAGTCAGAGATAAATCTTTACACTGCTAGAGACAGAGAAAGAACCCTTTAGAGAACAGGAAAAGTTTTCAATACATTTACTTCAGATTTGGGAAGCTCTACGAAGACAGATGTGTAAAATGTAAAAGTTTTTCAAGTTTTGGGAAGTGCTGAGTATAGCACCTTCCAATCAATTAATAAACACATCTAAAATAATTTGTTTCCCATGCCTTCTAAGTAAATAATATTCAGTACAAGCAAGCTCAAATAAAACCAAGGGGAATTTTCCAATAAGGAGTTCATCTTTACACAAATCTTCCTTCATTATAGTAGTCTGCTTGTCAAGAGAAATTAGACACAGAATGTCATACATCTGCTATCATGGCAGATGCGCTGGGATGCTCCTGTTTAAACTACAGAGAATCATGAACAATTTTCAAGCTGGCAGTTACCAACCATTACTACTCTTGCTCTCAAAGATTTCTTGATCACATATCAAAATTTACCAACAAAATTTCCAGTCCAGCTGGACAAAATTCTTGAAGATGAGCTTGAAGGCCATCCTGGCATAGTTTAAAAAACATATTATAGCTATACTTTTTTGACCATTCCGAAGAGTTGCTAAGCACTGGGGCCTGTTGGCTTTTAATGAAATCCCTTAGCCTCCTTACATGGATAGTGCTGTACCCTTTCAAGGAGAGGAAGATGAGCCTTGGGCTGGGATCAAGTCTTACTGACTGGAACGTCCATTTCCAGTCTTATGAAAATGAGGGACTTCTACCCTCAGAGAATCTTGAACATAACCTTATTTCACCTTTGAAATACCATAATTTGCAATGGTGCAAAATCCACAGTGGAAGCCGATGTAGCAGTGTGTGCACCTGTTCCTCGTTTTACATGGAAAAGGTGCCTGATAAAATGTGTGCAGTAAAATTTAACCAGCTTTCGCTAGGAAATATTTGCGCTGCTCCTAAGGAGTTACTATTTTTCAGATTTAAATCTCTCATTCTCTTTCATTTTGCTTTTCAGAATTCCCAGACCAAAGGAATCTCTCTACAGATTAATACACCACCAAATTTTCAGTATTTCATGTTCAGAATATGAGAGGGAGAAAACCTCTCTGAAACCTAAATATTTTCCCCTCTGAAGACCAGACCCATTTTTGGGAAAAATATGCAAAAGTGTTCATGTTGCTCTGAATGTGGCATGCAGTTTCAGCTAAAAACACAGCTTTACAGCAGATGTATAAAAGAATCAAAATTGGGAGATTTGTAGGAATAGTAGCACATTTTTACAGTGAGTGCAGAGCAGCTCCTGACACAGTATAATACTGCTTTTGTCTTAATCGTCAAAAGTAAGCTATAGAGAACAAAAAATTCTTTGTTTGACAGAAAAGCAATTGCTATTTCTTGTAAAACATATAATATATTCCAGAAGACCTAAGGGTTTACTTTCCAATAAGGATAGAAATAGATGTGCGCCCCACTGTGAGCTTGCAGTAAGGCTGTTTCATGTAAAAAGTTCGTAATTAGTCCCTGAGTGAATAAGTAGAAGAGATAAGAGGCTGATACTTACTGTAAGCAACACAAAACACTTTTTCTAGCTGCTAGATTTAAGGGTGTGTGGGTGGGAGGGGGGGGACCTATTCCTACTCATTTAATTTACAAGTGTCTAAGCACTGGAAAATTATTTCTTGCATTAAGCTTAAACATGTGTATTTTAAATTGTTACTAACTGAAATAAAATTGGTAAGAGACACTGCAATTCTAAAAAGCAGACAGGAGTGAAGAATTACACGAAAGCACAAAAGACTGATGTGTTGTACATCAGTAGCAGATTTCATGCTCGTTATACAACTCTGACTTCAGCAGAGTTACATCAGCATCACCTGGTGTTTTGCCAGTTTACCTCATTAGCGTTCAAAGGATCCTTATCGAAAAGGAAATACTTGGAAAACTAAATCAAGCTCCTTTAGCCAAAGTTAAATAATAACTGTCAAGAACAGAAACAAACCCAAAGCACGTGAGAAACATCTGCAACAAAAATAAAACTGTAGTTAGATAAAATCACTATCATCTGAATACTAAATTGCCAATCTTGGTTATGCCATGAGGACCTCACACACAAGACACAACTGGTCATCAGGTTGCCTCCACACCATCTCTGTCATGACTGTGCTGCCAGAGAGATCAACACACAGATGTCATGATGTCCAACACCATAGTCACTTGGACCAGGAATGCTCCGATTCAGTATAGAAAGAGTAAGGAAAATTCCTTGCATTCAGACTGATTAATTAAAACCACCTTGTTTACAAACATCCGATTCTCATCACAAATGCCAGGAATACATTAAAAGTATTTCCTCTGCCTGGATGCAGCATAGAAGCCCCAGAACTACTTTTTGTTTACTGTTCGTGTTGATTGTACTTATTTTTAAATCTGACTCTAACGCTTTTGTTGCCATGCACAAGTATTTAAAGAACCGTTTAAAATGATTTTGAAGTTATTTTTAGCAGGAAAAAGGTTTGACATGCTAATTCTAAAATCATTATACAATTTATCTGCCTGTTTAACACAGTTTAACACTCCAACACAGGCCACATTTTCTGGGGAAATTTATGTTCTGCCAATTCATTCATGATTGCAACTTGCCCCTGAAAGCAATCATAACAAAACACTTAACTTTTAAATCAAGTCACACTCACTGCAAAATACCTTGGGAGTTTTAGGTACCTAAAAACAAACAGTTCTTAGAAAACATCCAGAGTAACATATGAAAACATGATTTACCAGGGACACGGGCAGAAAGACTTCAGAGAAATAAGTGTGAATAGCTCAGAGACCACGCACAGTGGCTCTGAAATTTCCAGTTCTCCTCACTCTGGATACTGAAATTTCAGATGATTCTAGTTGGACAGTCATCGTCACCTAAGTACTGCTAGTGAGTTCTTTAAAGCCAGATAGCAAAATTCAAGCAGATGGCATGTCTTGGCTCCCAAGCAAGCAGCATCAGATTTAGGGAACCACTTGCTTCATTTCCACAGCGAAACTGGGACAGGAAAGAGGCAAGAGAGTAATGACGGCAGGAACCATCCACCTTGCAGAAAGCCCGTGCAAGAGTGAAGCTAACAGGCAGCCGGCAGCAAGTACAGCATGCTCCTGAGAGGCTCCTGCTCAAAGTCTGTGCATGCTGTCCAGCTCTGCCATTGGGATCCGTAGCTTCCCTCTTGTTTTCTGATCCTGAGGAAAAATGTTGGCCACCTTCAACCATTTTCCTCTTATTCTAGCACAGTAATGAGCAGGAACCATTTGTTCTATTTAAAGCTCTTCTAGGAAAAGGTGCAATTAGATCCAACTTACACAGCTTTCCAGTCTACTGATGGATTGGGGAACCAAAGTGTTTTACAAAGGAAAACACTCATTTCCCCTCCATTCAAAGGCTAGGATTTACAATGAACCAAATTCTGCCAAATTCCCACTCTCCCTTGCTCAAAGAACATCCATATAGGGACACATTTGTCTTTATTCAAAGAAACTGTATTACAGTACTCTACTGATGGTATAAATGATTGAACGTCAACCAAAATAAGTTCTCCCAGCAAGAGCGCTTTGATTGCTTCCTACTTTCTGCATTATAGCAGCAGTCTGATTTGCAAATTTTTGGATAATTTCTGCAGTCTTCAGATATCTCAAAAGACAGCATGGAAACAGGTTTTACAAACGGACTCAAACAGTAAGGAGTTAGAATATTGGCAGACTCCTCTCAGCAGTGCACAGCGATAGGACAAGGGGAAAAAGCCACAAACCAGAGCATAGGAAGTTCCGCACAAATGTGAGTAAGAACTTCTTTGTGATAAGGGTGACGGAGCACCGGAACAGGCTGCCCAGGGAGGTTGTGGAGTCTCCTTCTCTGGAGACATTCAAGACCCACCTGGATGCCTACCTGTGCGACCCACTCTAGGGAGCATGCTTAGGCAGGGGGGTTGGACTCAATGGTCTCCACAGGTCCCTTCCCGCCCTACAATTCTGTGATTCTATGATTCTGTGATTTATCTCTGACTGCCATTTCCATAGCTTAAACTTCCTGCATAGGAACAGAAAGAAGATAATCAGAGAGGCAGAGTGAACAAATCTTGCCTACCTACTGATGTAAGCGCCTGTGTTGTCCAATATCAAATAAAATTAGCCTGTTGGATTTCAGGAAGCAGAGTCAGGCTAAAGGGCACTATTCTTATCTGGTATTCCACCCAAAGGACAATGATTTCAATTTATAAAGATCATTAGTCAATGAAATATATATTTTAGAGAGTTTCTAGTAGGGAAGATTATTTTGGCAGTCACTGGAGTGTACCAGATGGTTCATTAACATAGACTAGACAAGTCAAAGGCTTTCAGAATCATTTAGAAAATGTCAAACAGAAACAAGAGCCCTGTCACTTTTTATTAGAATTAACTACATCATACCCTGGACACAGATTTCACCTTGGGTCAGAAAAATTAATACAGAATTATATGAATTGTGTAACATACTAGGTTAAAGATAGGGCTTCCTCTTGGGACTCATTTGCTAGCAATATATCATGGTCTTCTACTTTAGGAATCCTCAACCTTTCTTTTCGTAAGATATGAAAAGAGCTGACCTTGCTCAGACTCCATTGGTGTCTAATTGATTTGAGGTATATGCAGAATTTCAACAAGACACTCCGCTAAAGCTCTTTTGTGATCATTTTCCCAGGAAAGTGCGCAAAAGGGATCACTGAATATTCAGCAGCTTGTAGAGTATGCTTTTGTCAGGAGGAAAAAAAATACAAAAAACCCACAACATTTAGTGAAAAATTGCCCTAGTAAGCTGTAATTAAAATGCAACTCAATTGTTCTTACTTTTTCTTGTTGTTTTAATTATCATTCAGATGTCAAAAATCTAGAGAACTTCCAGCTTGTGGAGGGTGTTCAGGAACAAGTGAATGCTGCTCTGCTGGACTACACAATGTGTAATTACCCACAGCAAACAGACAAATTTGGGCAGCTTCTCCTGCGACTACCAGAAATCCGGGCCATCAGTATGCAGGCAGAAGAATACCTCTACTACAAACACCTGAACGGAGATGTTCCATGTAATAACCTTCTCATTGAGATGCTGCATGCAAAGAGAGCATAAATTATATCCGTTAGAGCTTCTGCTTTCAAGGAAAAGATATACTCTGAACTGCTCCAAGCAACACTAATTAAAATGTGGTTTTAAGACTTTGCAAAATGGTATAATAATCAAATACTAATAGTAAATAAGTGATGTATCAGGGTATTTGTATTGCAAACTGTGAATCATATGCTACACATCCCCAAAGGAATCTCTTTAGGACTTTATAAACTGGAGTGAAGTAAACTTAAAAAGTGGATACTATCACCAATGTCAACATGAATAACAACAGAATGATTCTTGTATATTTAACTTCTGATTGCCAATGTGAAGAAATTTAGGGGAAAACTGATCTGTATTGTTGAGCTAAGAGAGTGGGGAATTTGAGTGCACTAAATTCCTTCATTGTACAGCAGGACTTCTAGAACAGTTATAACAGATGCAAAGCTGCATCTATACCATCTTCTGTCATTCTCCCAAGGACCCAACACTTCTTCTGTGATAAACGATGTGGCATCCATTTAACAGTCTGTACGAGAGAGTTGGCCTAGGCCACCTTCTAGGTAGTATGGCCACCACTTCCCTAGACGCTGGTTTTGACAGTCTCTCAGGCCTGCAGATAGCTAATATCAAGAGTCTGTTTTCAAGTTAGCTTGGCATTCTTACTATGTTCTAAAGTCTGTTTCATTACGTGTTCATGTTGTTAAATCAGGCAGTATCCTTCTTCTACTACTGTCACTGGCTGTCATTAAAAATCTAACATAAATACGCAACAACAACAAAAATTCAACTCAAATATATACTTCACTACTGCAGTGGCTAAAATACAGCTCTGCTATGTACTCATGGCCTTTTCCAAAAAAAAAGAAAAAAGAAAAAAAAAGGAAGATACCCAAGCCACTAAAAGTGACAACTTCTTCAACAAACACTGTTGTTAAACAAAAATAAAATAAAAAAGAACAGAAATGCATTAAGCAATGCAAGAAAAGGCAAGTAAATTGCACACTTTTTTAACACAAAAAAGAAGAGTGATACTGCTATATCTATGTAGGCCAAAGTCTGCTGCAGAACAAATACTGAAGAAGAACAAACAAATCTCTCTCTGTCCAAATGAAGGTATCAGTATTAAAATGTAGTGCCACGGTTCTAAGTCTTGCCTTATTTCACTATCCTTAAAGGTAACTGTGCAGATGTGGATCAACATATATTTAAAAATAAAGTATTAGCCTCTAACATTAACAAAAAAATAGTGTTTACATTCTTTAGGTCCTGTGGGAAGAAAGAAAGAAAGAAAAAAAAAAAAAAAAAAAAAAAAAACTGTGATAAAATTGCAAAGCAGTGATTTCCTTAATGTTGCTTTCAAATTGGTAATTATTTTACCAGTACTTAATTACTGTATGTCGTGAGACACTAAAATCAGTGGGGGGAGGGGACTTTAGTTTGACTTTAATTTTGAGATTATCAGCTGTACAATCACTTGTAGAAACTGTATAAAATCCTAATTCTTTGATTTTTTTTTTCATGAAGATTGCTGGCTTTTGAATAGTTTATTTATACTGTATATGATAGTTTCCACTGTAGACAATTATGATGCTAATTTATTGTTTGTTGGTTTCATCTTTATCTAAGATATAGCCAGAATGAAGAAGCCAAATATATGTGTTTACTGTAGCATGTCTTCAAGCTAGTGGAACATAGTTCAGGGACACACAAAGGTCTTCATAAGTTTAAATCATTCACTTGATTGTCTGTAAATCTTCATAATCTTAAATGTAGTTTATTTAAATCTATTGTAAATTATGTGAGTTGTAGCTTTTTCTGTTTCATGTGAACTTGAAAAGGTGCATTCTCTCATTTTTTTCCAACTATCCACACACTGTATACCAAAGACATTAATTATTTCATCTGCATTAGTTAACATGTTATTTTAATCACCTGTATTACTCAGCTGTATTCTGTCCATGCATAGGGTACAAACACAGCAAAGCCCAATGTCTGCACCTCCTAGATGCCTGCCTTGAATCACAGAATGCACACAGTGACATACTGGCCAAAAGCAAACCATATATACACCCCCATGGTCATCCCACACAGCAAGCATGGCAACGTTATTTTCCTAAGAGCATGCTCCGTCAAACAAACTAAATTAACAGATAGTAAGATGCAGGTGGCAATTGACTGTGGCTGTGATATCTACATATCATGAGCATAGTTCAAAGTTTGGTCATGCATTTCCTTTTTAAAAGAAAAACAAAGCATATTTCAAGTGTTTGCATTTTCTTTTTTTTTTTTCTTATTGAAATGCTACAGTGAATATCACTGAATATTTACATAAAAAGCTTTAAAAATGTTACTAGCTGTATTCGCAGCATGATAATCTACATACAGGACAAAAGAATTTAAATAAGGATATAAGAGAGAAGATTTTTCGCATACAATTTAAACAATTGAAACAATTTCAGATAAACTACCATATATTTGCCCATATCTGTCATTCCAAGAATCCCACTTGATTGCCCAAAGTTTGCAAACAAACGAAAAAAAAAGAAAAAGAAAATAACCTAACCTCATGTTAATTGTTAACTACTTTGTAACCAGACATTTGCTTTTGACTGTCTTATTGATTACAGGACACATTAGTAAAAGCAGACTAAAATTCAAAGGTTTTGGCTTTGGCTGGTTTATTATAGTTGTTCTGTGTGTGTAAACAGACAATCTGTAAAGTCTGACTATTTGTACTACAGATGTTCTGCAGCTGCCTTGGATTTAAATCCATGCAACTCTTAGAATGTGCAGTGAGTTACTTGTTGAAGTTGAAGTTTTCTTACTGTATCAGTGAAATACATATTGTCACGTCAGTTCTTGCCAGAAGTTTCTCATCGCCAATGGATTTTTTTTCAGTATTTCAATAAATATTGATATGTTCATGCTGACTACTTTTAAATTGTCTTTATGCATTCCACATCATTCCACCAAAATGAAGCACTAATCAAAATACAGTTTCTCAGAAGAGAAGAGTGAAATATAAAACACAACAGAGTCCCCAGAAAAATAAACAAACTGATGCTAAGCGAAAAGTACAAACATAGGGAACAGCACTTTCAAATGCTCAGACAGCAATGGTGAAATTGCATAGGCTGAAGCAAAATAAACCCAGCTAAAGAGATCAGAAAAGCTGTGTTGACTCAAAAAGGAATTTACCAAAAAAATGTTTACTAAAAACATTAATGCATTTCATCTCATTCTGCACAATTGATTTCACTCTAAACACTGTGCAAAAAGGGTTAAGCAGCCAAACAATCGGAGGAGAAAAATGACAGAACAAAAGAAAATCAGGCAACAGGATCCAGCAGAGCTCAGGTTAACCTCTCAGCAATGTAAATACAGCACAGGGCCAGGGGCAACTCCAGAGCTTCCAGCACAACTGCCATCAGAGGCTGCCAAGGAGGCAGATGTTACAGCTACTACAGAAAAATATTCTCTTAAAGTTGCCCTCTGGCTCATTGCCATTCCAAGAGCAGGGAGTGAAGTGGTCCAACAGCTTGTCAGTAGCACCCTACTGTTCTGAGATCAAGTCCACTGCTTCCCCTAAGCTGTCTTGTAGCAGAAAAGGGACTGTTTTGCACAGTGCCAAGTGTTAATGCTTCAAGGGGAAGAAACAGGTCCATAATTAGTTATTTACAAATACTGTGTTTGAATGAAACAAAGCCATGTTAGTGTTGCAATAAAAACAGAGTCAAATAGAAAGGATACTTCTAACTGTTGGGAATCATAACTGAAAATTACAATATCTCATAAGATCCAGGTGAGGTCTCAGGATTAAAATCTCATCTAAGGAAAACATATTTATTTATATTATATATAGAAAGACTATATTTAGTATATGTACTACAGATTTAAATTATAAGGGAATTTATTTTTAACTGTGTTTGACACTGGTTTTGGAACAATCTGCTGTGTGTTTTTATTGGAAACATGGAAAGAGTGAGTTCAGTGTAACACAGGTCACCAGTACCATACTTGGTGATCTTGACAATTTCCTGGAATACTGAATAACACTTTTCATTAACCCTTAATATGAAGCCCATAGTCTAGATACGTGATAAAACTTCTAATGACACTCTTAGCTACTCCAGTACAGTTGCTATAATTTTCTCTGTGCAGATGTATTTGCTATAGACCACAGTTCAGAGAATTAGACTGAACTAATAACAATACAAAAAAATTCCAGGTAAATTTTAAGAGCACCAAATCTCACAGCTTTGTAACCCTGTGATGCTGGCATGAGAGTAAATACTTCTGTGTCCATCCCATATTCTCAGCTGCGTATCAGCTTTTAGAGAAAAGATTCAGTTTCTAATGGCAGTTTTTGCCAACAATATGGAAAACTTTGCTAAATTATTAAAGGTAGAAGACGACCTAACCTCACTCCGAGCAGACATGCCTTCCCTGATGTCAGTGGAACCAAGTTTGCTAGCAGCTGCATTACTTGGTAGTTTCAGCCCAGTCCAGCCCATGCCCATAGGACAAGACAAGGCTTTCCATCATCAAACGTTTTCCAAAGCCCCTTTTTTTGCTCATCTGTGGGACAAAAGTCTTTCCAATTTATTTAAGTTTGGCATGCAAGATTGGACTTACTCAATAATAGGTGAGCTTTTTCCATCACTCCAAGAAAGTGATGACCCCTGTTTCCTGAAATCACTCTAATGTCCTTTAGTCCTAGATTAACATTCAGTTTTATGGTAGTTTCTGCGCACACCCAGGAGGATAATTCACATGCAAAGTAAAGCAAAATGTGGATGGAATACAGACTCCTGATAGTGCCTATATTAACAATGGCTCAGCTGTAGTACTCTGCTCAGATCACTGGAGCCCAACCCTATTGCAAACCACAGGGCTTATAATACAGGCTGAAACGAACAGTAGGAAAACTTAGTGTTGTAGTCATCATTTGTCCTCTTAGATTTTGCTTTTCCTATGCTTTGGGATGAGTAAGTTCACTGTAAAATGGGGAAATGATTCTTGGTGTGAGGTGCAGAACATAGAAACACTTCAGTAACACCAGTTGCTCATTGCATGTGCTGCTGCAGCTACACGAAGCTGTGTGATCCATGGTGCAACATCAAGTGCAATATCCCCAACCAAAAACTTCACAGAACAGGAGCTTCCCTGCAGGCATTTGTGTCAATCACACTATGACAGATATTACAGAATGTTTGCTGGATACTATCGCTGCCGACTGTCGGTTATACAGTAATATGGGGACTCTGTATCAGAGGGAAAAAAGTATATTTGCAAGACACTGTATGTACAACAAAACCTGCTGAAGGCCATTTAATAGCTACTGACATGCATACAGATATGCACACGTGCCACAAACCACTTTAGGGAATTCCTTAAGAGCACTCAAAAATCCAATTCTCTGGTTGCTGTCCAGGACGATTTGTGAGGCAGTGCTCCCCATGGGGATAGCTAGAGCTCTGCTTCGCAGTCTGCCTTTCCACTTGCGTAAGCAGAAACATGTTGGTGCAGAATAATACAAGAGAGGGGCATGCTCTTCTAAACAATACAACAGCATTTATAACATGTGCTACATCATAGCTGTGGTACTCTTCACCACTTGATCTACACCTGCAAGTATCAAAAAGGGTAAGTTCTACAAAGTGCTTCCAAAAGCACATCACAGCTTTATTTAAGAAGAAGGTCTAGAAAAATGCCTGAGTTTGAATCCCACAGTAAGAAACACAGATGCCTATTATAATCAGTCCATATAGTAGAAAGCAAAAGAAATAACTGGGGGCAGGGGTGCTCCAGAAGAAAACATAAGAAGAACTAAGCACAAATGTAGAATATGCAAACTGATATTTCTGTTCCATAAATATTTCATGATTCACTTTTAATGTAAAAGAAAAAATAAATAAAATATGCTGGATTATTATCATCAATTGGAAGTATTAACAAGGCCTGAATAAATTATTATTTTTATATTTTACAGACCTGCCACAGCAAGTGATACTGTTTCTAATTTTCATTTAATTTTACAATTTTTATACATTTCAGATAAAAATGACGTGGAATAATTAGTTAAGAAGGTTTAATCAATATATTAAACTCCTGCTGAGACAACTGAAGCTTATCACTGGAGTTTATTTTAATTTAAAACAACGCACTATAGCTCCTTCCCAAAGTTTACACTGTTTGTTTTTCTTAGCAAATTCAGTTAAATGCTCTACAACAAATTCTTACTCTTTCAAATAAGACCTGTCCACAAGTTCCACACCACTTGGTTTTGCAATTATAGACCTCCCCCAGGTCTTACATGTCTTTGGAAACAGAACTGAAGCTGAGAGAGGTGCTGGCCCCAACACGCTGGAGCTGAGCACATCTCCTGACTTTTGTTTCTCTGTATTAGTGTCTCTTCTCTGCTCATTATGTTATTTAAAACCCACCTGATTCTTCCAGTGATGACATCATTACTCTTCATATGAGCTCTCGCTGCCTTTCCACATTTTTCTTTCATGTCTGAAATTTCCCTGTTTAATTTTCTTTTTCTTTGTACCACAAAGAGAAAATCACAAGTCAACTTGACCCAATTTGTTCATATTTTGAGAAGAGTCATCTATACGTTTGAGGGTTGGAGGATGAAGGGAATAAAAATGGGAGTGTTGAGGATTTAGTAGTAAGTGTCTGCATGTTTAGAGGCAGCAGAGTGACCACAAATGTCAAAACAGGAAAACAACTGCTGAAACCTGGCCACACCAGGCTAAAGCAAGCCCAGCCAAAAGCAAGACAAGGTCACCAGTCAGCCCGCTATGTCTTAGCTTACAACAACCAGTTAAAACATCAACAGTCCTCACCAAACATTGTTTTCAGAATAAAAATAGGAAACATAAAAGAATTTTAGTTTAACAATAACACTAAAATATTCATAGTGGAATCTAAACAGAGAAGCAGCATCAGTGCTAGAATGAAATTATTTTAAGACAGTTTTTATTTTTTGCTCCAACAACACACATAGTAATATTCAATATAACCAAGAAACAGCCTTTGCCAAGACGAGTAAAGGGAACAAAGTCTTCCTTTTTTAAATTTGTTTGTATATCCAGCTTTGACATAGCCCTACCCCTTGAGCATCCTGCAAGGAAAAAAAATAAAACTTCCCAAAAAGTGCCGTACTTTCCAGGGTGACAGAGTTAAGGCACTTTTGCAGGTCAGAAAAAGCTGGCTGATATCTCACCTGGTGTTCCAGAGCCCTCAGGAAGCCTGCCTGAACAGCATCAACCATGTCTCAGCACTGTTTTGTTCAAGAATGAACATCAACAAACACGCAACAGAGGTTGCTGCAGGCACAGCCTGAGCGCTGCCTATGTGGGGATACAGCACACTGGTGTCACAAGTGGTCAGCCTGTGAACAGAAGCAGAAGGAACATTTTATGAGGTCATCTAGCACTATATCCCCCTATCTACTACACAACCAGTGTCCACCTATCTAACATGAGAGTCATGAAGAAAACAGCAGTATTTTACTAGCATATTTTCTAATATTTAGACCAAATGATTCATTAAAAGTTCACTGTACCAATGCCATAGTTTTACCCAGCTTATCTCTCCTCTCACCTCCCCTGTATTTACATTTTAGCTTTGTTTGGAGGTGAATTTCATGTGAACAACAACACACAGAAATAATATACACAAAGCATGAAAACAGCTCCAGAAAGGAAGTGATCACTTTAGGTTGATAAAATTGAGACCAAGGACACTAGAAAAACCCTGCTTTCTTCCTGGTAGCTACTTTATAGTTGTTCTCCTGGGTTTTTTTTAATGTTTCTCATGAAAACCATAATTAATGGAAAACAAACTAATTTAATCCAGAAAAAAAAAAAAAAAGGTCGTTTGTAGTTTAAGAAACTATATTAGAATAAGCAAG